GCACACACACACATACACGCACACACACACATACACGCACACACACACATACACGCACACACACACATACACACCAATTCTCGCTCTCCCCGGGTGTTTAGTCACACAGTCTCCAAAAATGGTCGCAAAATGCACATAAATGGTCACAGCCTGGAACTGTGTGGAGCCACAATTTTCATTTCTTAGGCATTTTTTACACAAACAAAGACAACACCACACACGAGCCACGCTGGGCATACGTTTTTTCCTCCGGCCTATATGACATGTTCGTGAAACGTTATGTTAGACAGCCAATCACCAGCAACTTTAGATCTTTACACAAGTACGCTGCATGCTTATTAGCTCATAGACGCTGAGATTTACTGTTTGGCACGGAAGAGGATTAGGGCCACCATGAAAATATTATTTGAATTCTGACTTTTTTTTCTCAGAATTCTGAGTTTAGAAAAAAAGTCAGAATTCTGACATTAAAGTCAGAATTCAAATAATATTTTCATGGTGGCCCTAATCCTCTTCCGTAGTTTGGGCATCAGAATTTGGCACCGAAAGAATAATTTTTCAATCCTTGATATAATTGGAGCATTAAGGTCAGTACCCAACTCTAATCATGTGCACATTTGATGCCCATAGGATATTCCTGTATAGCTTAATGAAGCCAGTATCAGTTACGTGAGCTCTCCATTAAACTGTCTTAGGTTGAAGGTAAAATATATATATAATCTGTGTGTGTGTGTGTGTGTGTGTGTGTGTATATACAGAGGTATAGTTGACACAATGTATGACATCACAGGAAGGTACACATGCAGGACCAGGGTACACAACTTCTACCCATTAAGTAACTGCAGACACAGAGACAGCGCCTTGCTCTGTAAGGACACACTCAGTTTCATCTGCCCCCTTACCCCCCCCCCAAACCCCCATTTTAGTGCTATTTTTACCCCCCTGTGACCTGACAGCCTGTCAGCTGCAAGCTGAAACGTGAACCTGCGCACATGGACCCTCAGATGTTCTCACTGCACAGCATACCCACCCCCCCCCCCCCCACGTGTGGGACACCCCCCTCCACCAACATCTGGTGGGACACTTCAGTGCCCCGCCGAAAGTACTCCCAAGTCTGCTCGTCTTATCACATGAAATGTACTTTTTTCCTGATACATGAAACACTGGAAAACTGACTCATGCACTTATTCCTTTTCACATAATTCTTTAGATGTGGGATGTTTTTGATGAGTTTTGTTTTCGTCTTTCTGTTGCTCAGGACCCAGCATTTTAAAGACAGCATCGCATTCATCCACGAGTCCCGGCTGAAGAGGGAGGGCTGTCTCGTGCACTGGTGAGTGGGACTTCGGCTGAATGCACAGGAGTGTCGCGAGGGGGACCCCCTGAAGGCACCTAATAAGGGAACAAACAGTCCTGAAGAATGCTTTGTAGCAGCAGCTTGAGTGTAAAGGTCAATGAGTGTACTGTAGCCAAGAAACCCATAGCTACACTATATGGACAAAAGTATTGGGACACCTGGCCATTACACCTACAGGAACTTTTATGACATCCCATTCTAAATCCATAGGCATCAATATGGAGTTGGTCCCCCTTTGCAGCTATAACTGTTGCCACTCTTCTAGGAAGGCTTTCCACAGGATTTTGGAGTGTATCTGTGGGAATTTTTGCCCATTCATCCAGAAGAGCATTTGTGAGGTCAGGCACAGATGATGGACGTGAAGGCCTGGCTCGCAATCTTTGTTCTGTTTCATTCAAAAAGTGTTTGATGGGGTTGAGGTCAGCGCTTTGTGTGGGCCATTCAAGTTCTTCCACACCAAACTCGCCCAACCATAGGCACCGAAGTTCCGGAACCTGGTCCCTGGGCTGTCTCAAGCTGGAACTTCTGTAGCTCTTGGCCACTTTTGTGTGTCACTTTCACACCACACAACAGGAACTGGGATATTTACGCTAAATGGGGATGCAAAAAATTTCACAGGTGAAACTTCACAGGAAATTTCCTACCAAACTACACAGCCACACCAAAACAATGAAGGATAAATAAGTCGTTTTGTTAGTTATTGGGGGATTGATCACGATCAAAATAGGACACAGCCTTTTATTTATTTGTTTGTTAACCAATGACTTGTTCATCATTCTTATTAAATCAGGCCAGCAAAAAGATCTTTTGTTCTCCACAGAATAAAAAATGATGTAACATTTTTCTGCTAAATAAGCACTGGGAAATTTCACCACCAGCACCAGTGATATAAGACTAAATTATATTGGTTAAACTGTCAGAAATATAAAGATGCAAACAAAAAAAAATGATTCATTGAATGTAACTGGGTACAAAAATAATTCCATCTCCTCAATTTTTGCTCCACTACATCTCTTTTTCTGCACTTCTGGCTAACTTCCACGCTATCGCTGTAAGCACCGCCCCAGTAGTTCATGTTTGAATAAAAGGTACCTACTTTGGGGTAGGTACTAAAAAAAGATTCAGTAAGAACAGTTCCTGAAGTGTGAACACGACCAAAGTCCCTGGTTCCAGAAAAAAGTTTCAGTGGTGTGAGACTGCCTCATGTCTTTAAGGATCTTGCTTTATGCACTGGGGAAGCATAGGAACCATAGAATTGTCCAAAATGTTTTGGTATGCTGAAGCACTGTGAGTTCCCTTGAGGAGTCTAGCTCAACCCCTGAGGAGTCTAGCTCAACCCCTGAAAAACAACCCTATACCATTATCCCTCCTCCACCAAACTTTACAGTTGGAAAAATGCAGTCAGGCAGGTAATGTTCTCTGTGCATCCGCCAAACCCAGACTCATCCATCAGTCTGTCAGACAGAGAAGTGTGATTTGTCACTCCACAGGACATTTCCACTTCTCCAGAATCCAGTGCTGGCGTGCTTTACATCACTCCATCTGACGCTTGGCATTGCGCTTGGGGATGTGAGGCTTGCATGCAGTTGCTCAGCCATGGAAGCCCATTCCATGACGCTCTTGGTGCACATGCAGTTTTTTGTGCTGGAGTTAATGCCAGAGGAAGTTTAGAAGTCTGCAGTTACTGTGTTAACAGAGCGTTGGCAACTTTTACACACTATGTGCCTCAGCATTTGACAACCCCCTTCTGTTACTTTACATGGTCTGACACTTTGTGGCTGAGTTTCTTTGGTTCCTAAATGCTACCACCTTGCAATTATACCACTTATGGTTCACCCTGGAATATGTACCACGGAATAAATTTCACAAATTGACTTATTGCAAAGGTAGCCTCCCATGACAGAACCGCGCTTGAATTCACAATTTCACAAATGTTTGTAAACCTGATTGCATGGCTAGGTGCTTGATTTTATACACTGTGATTAAGAGGTGTGTCCCAATACTTTTGTCCATATAGTGTATGTAAAGAGGGGTGAATCAGTAAACTGGCTTTTCAGCTTCAGAAGAGAATTAATTGTTTCAGATGAGGGCTTTCAGTGTTAAATAAACACAAACAATGACGATTTCTGTCCCGGCTGACCGACGTGGGTCACGTTCCCGCAGCCTGGCAGGAGTGTCACGCAGCGTGACCTTGGTAGTGGCCTACATCATGACGGTGACGGACCTGGGCTGGCAGGAAGCATTGGCGGCCGTACGAGCCGTGCGATCCAGTGCCAACCCGAACTTGGGCTTCCAGCGGCAGCTAGCCGACTTTGAAAGCACACAGGCTGCCCATGTAAGTGACCCCCTCCCCCCTCCCCCCTATTCTCTAATGATGCAAGAAGGAATCACAGTCCTATTTAATGAGCTACATGCCCTTCCACGGGGGGAGGGCACTGTTACAGCTAACACTTCCTCTCTGTTGAACTTTTGTTTTTTAACCATCCCGTGCAGCTTGATTGTTCAGCTGACTGTCATGTCGGTCCTCTTCCTTTCCTACTGATTTATTCTGAGAGAGGAAGGTGCAAATTTCTGCCCACAGAGCGGCCTTTACCCACGCATTCAGCCATAGTCTTGTGCGCCCTTCCTCCTCGCGAGTGAGATCACTGTGCGACGTCAACTTTGACGCAAACATTCACGTTTTTTTTTTAATAAACTAAGCATCACGTTGTTGACATTTTACGCTGCTCTGCTTCAGTCTAACTTTAGAAACATAATTTGCCTCTAACCCTCTCACCTCTTCACAATTTAAGCAGTTAAACTTAGTTAGTCTCTGACTGATAGTAGGTTGTGTACTGTACAAATGCAAACCAAGGGTAATATTGATACTGTGCAGTGGAAAAGTCAAAATTTTACTAAGTGGTTCACTTTCAAAAACCTGCTTGACTTTCAGTATAATTCAGAAACTATCTGAGCAGACGGCGGGATCCAATTAAAGCAAGAACATAAGAAATTTACAAACGAGAGGAGGCCATTCGGCCCATTAAGCTCTTTTGGGGAGTACTTAACTAATAGCTCAGAGTTGTTAAAATCTTATCTAGCTCTGACTTATAGGAACCCAGGGTTTTACCTTGCAAGTCATTTGCTAAATGTGTTTGGCTGCATCTCCTGCCCTTCGCAGTGCCTGCTTAACAAGCCCATAAAAACCGTCACTAACCTGTAGGTGGGCAGACCTGCGTCGGGTTTAGTAATGGCGACGAGATGACCGGTGCGCCATGTACTTATCCAGTACCGACAGTGGCTGCGCGAATGCTACAAGCAAAATCCATTCAACGACGCGGAGAATATCCGGCGACTGCTGTCCAAGGAGGCTGACACCGAGGAGGCCCCATCCAGCATTGGGACATCCTGAAGTACGCAGTTCGGCGAACGGAGTCGGAGTCCGCGACTCCCGCGCGTCTCCCGGCGTCGTGGCGGACTTCACGTTTATCACGGTTCCTGTGAGGCGGAGCGGAGGTGATGGCTGGTCCCGTGGAAACATCGTCTTCTCTGTGCAGTAATCAGCTCTGGTTTCCTGGACGGGAAACGGTACTGCTCTGAAGATGCTAGATCGTCTAAACACCTACGTTTTATACTTTTTTCTCACTTTTCATTTGTACTCGAATAATCACACATTACTAAGCCTTTCTATTTTTTTACTCATTGTTTTAATGGCAGTGCAAGAAAGGTATTTAATATATGTAACATATTCCAGAACAGTCATATCAAATGACCTCACCAAATTAGCATGCCAAAAATAGCTTTTGTTTGAATTGTAAACATGGTGTATTTTCAGTTCTCTTGTCATTTACTTGACTGAATTGCACTGGCTTTAGCATAACAGATGAAAACGAGATTTTAATGCACGAATAAATGAGAATATCTCTGAACATACCCCTAAAATCTATCAATTTCCAGTAGTCTAGAGTTACATAGTGGACGTATTTTTCCTTGTCCGGAACAATATAACAATTTAATAGCTTTGAGACCGTTTGTGTAACTGGAAACTAATATAATTTTAACCACTTAGATTCTAAGTCCCTGGAAACAAGCCATCTGGAAATCAAACCAACAATATCCCTGGTACGAATTCATTTCTTTGATCTGGCGCACGAAGTGGAGTTCATCTTGGGGAAAGATGCTAGGCAACCTGCAGCTGTGACGAACCAGGGCCCAAGCAAACCAGAAGAAAACGCCGGTGTGCTGACGAGTTGAGCTATACCTATCGATCGAGACGTGCTATCGAGTCTTTCTGCGCATGTGCAGTTCCACCGTTTTGGGATTAGGGTTAGGTTTTAGGGGTTAGGGTTAGAGTTAGGGTAAGGGCTATCGATTAGCACTTCAGTAGCCTAACACGACAAAGTAGCTCAACTCGACAGAACACCGGGTTTTAATGGAAAGCGCTGAAAAACAAAACTTCCTCAGACAGCCAAAGTTCCCTTTTCCGCACGATGAATATATACCACATTAGTGATAGCAGCAAACCTGGGATTCTGGTAAGTTTTATCTGAAATGATTCGTATTGCCATACGAATTCTCCGTATTAATTTGTGTTAATCGGCATACGGAACACCGGCACCCTTGCAGCATCTGCTGGTGCTTGCGTGAAAGTTCTCGACCTTTCGGTGTGCAGCTCCATGCTAATCAGCTCACTGGTGCTCTGGGGAACCAAGTGAAGGGGATTTTTTCAGCCTATGGATTTATGCACGCTTCAAGGTGTTCTTATGAAACCAGACACGCTCGGGCGACCTTCGGTGAAATAATGCGTATTCTCATTTGGCATCGCGCGTATTGTTGCTGGACTTTTAAGTGAGAACCGAGGAAAATGGTTAGATTAATATTGTAAAGTACGGTGCTGGGTATACTACCCTACCTTACCTTATCGTTAGGATAATCTGTTTACCCACCACCTGTCACAACACTAGTAATGAATGTAGCAATATCATTATTTTGCACAAGTGGTTCATTATAATTTTGTTTATGTAGAACAATCACAGTCCGCACCGACCGTAATATAAACAAGCATATCACCAATGAAAAGGTATGGGCACTATGTTTGTGAACTATGGGAATATAGCCCAGTTAGTGACTGGTCACAGTTGGGCATTGGGCAAAATAACTGGTCCGAATTTATAAAAATAACGCGTCTTTTTCGGTGACTTGAACGTTGTACAACCGTCATTTTAAGATGAGTACTGGATGGAAACAACATAAATAAAGATATTTCCCAAACTGCTGTGAACAATGATGTGTCTTTTAATCGCCTATATACGAGATGAGATGTTTTGATAGTCGCATAAGAGAAACCACTGATCTTTCAGCATGAAACAAGGAACAGATTATTCAGCACAGTGCTTAAGAAGAGTTACATAATGGAGGTATTTATATCATATTGCTGGCATCACCTCAAAAGGGGGGGGGGGGATAGAAAAATTAGACAACGTTCGGTGCTTTGTTACAGCCATAATTGACTTCGATATAGAATGTGGTAACTTGGCTATTACATTCGGCGTGTAATACTGTGACACACCCTGAAAGGAAAATGCGGGTCAAACATTCATTTTTGTTTCTGCATGAAGAAATGAGGAAGTAAATATGACTCGATAAGTGTTTTTACCATTTTATTCCCATTGTTTCGGATAATGACTTGACTGGATAAATGCTGACCTGAGCTCAATCATGCATCTTTTAAGACATAGCCTACCTTGAACGAAAGACAAACGAGTAAAAAGCACTTGCCTTAAGGGGTGATATTGCTGCTATACCGGTGTTGCGTAGGTATAATTTAGCAACACCGTTTTTAACGTCAAGTACATGCAGCCCGGGGGCTGGGCACGTTAAATGTTGCCGAGGGGGGGTTGGGGGGTATCCCACGATACTTTTGGCTGACCCACCGGGAAAAACATAGCAGATGGCCAGTCCAGTCCGAAGTACATGCATACTAGTATCTTTACGGATCGTCTATTGCTTCACGGTTAGTCTATGCAGCTGAATCGGCGGGCGGGGATCTTCTGCACCTCTCTGCATGTTACTGAACGATAACCGAAGCGTTCTTGTACTCTTTGTAACCCGCTGTAAAGACTCTTTCCGGTTAATGTGACATTCAAGGGTGGCCATGCTTGAAAGGGGCTTGAGAGAACACATAAAACAGGGCACGCGCAACGGCACCCCAGAAACACGGGGTTATTTTAAATAAAGGAATGATCCTGTGTTGCCCATAGTTTGCTCCGCCACCCTATCGATTCAATTATTTAATGCCCTAGGTTGATGAAGATAGTTTAGACTAAGATGAACTTGCTTAAGCACTACCCTCGTTTTAATTTTAATTCTATTTATCGCGCTGTCTGACGCAGGCAGAACCTTCGCCTCTTAGCAAGCCTGGGGCAGCTCAGTCCCGTTCGTTTCAAAGGCAGTCGAGTTGTTTAACATATAAAAAATTGGCACGAAATACCCAGACTTTATAAACCGTTAATTAGTTTAAATTGACAGATTAGAAAAGAGAATTCACACATTGTCTGGTAAAAATTGTTGCAAGCTAACAGAATAACAGGATTTAAAAGTGAGAAAAACTTTGACTCTACAACAATATTAATAATATATTTTACCATAAACTAAAATGATGAAATATATATGCCTATATGGATTTTGTATAGAAAATGGATGAATATTCGTAATTGGTTCAACATACGCTGTTACCACGGCGAATCCATTCGCCTCAAATTTATATTTATATATATATATAAGATATTTCATTTATTTTCAAAGTTTGCATATGAGCGTATTTTCATATGACTTTGTTATTAAACTACTGTACAATACCATTTTTTTCTAAATACATATTTATATAGCCTAATAGGTTAGCTAGGTCGGGGGATGCATGTTTTTAATAAAACGCATTTTTTTAAAAAATATTATACCATACTTCGTCACTTCCACAAACAAAACACTCACATTTGAAATGTTTCTAACCTCTTAAACATACGGTAATAATTGAGGATAATTGTAGGTCTACAAATAACCCAAACGAGACCTGTATTGGTAGGCTATTCATTTTTTAAACAATAACCTACATTTCGAGAACAGTCAAAGAATTCAAAATCAGTTTCATTTCTAAAAACACACATTAGACAATTGTGATACATTTGTCCGCACAGTGTAATTTTCTGTCTTTGCCGATGAAGCAGAGTTAATTTTCAAAAAGAATCTGTTACAGTCAGGTGTTTTATGCGTATCTATGTGTAGTTACGCTCTATGTCCAGAAGATGGCAACTATCGGTATTTTTTTCCAGTCTGAATCTGAGTCACTCGAACATATTTTCTCCCTGATGACACTGACAAGCGGCAATAAAACTCCTCTTTACATAAATGACCGACTGACCGTGTGTAAAAATGTAAATAAACCATGGTTACAAATACTATTGTTTGTATGCTTACGGTTAAAGATGAGCCATTTTATTTATAAAACACCATTTTTACCGTAATAAAATACACTACAAACTAATAAACGCGTTGCAATAAATAGTTTGAATAGCCTGTACATTATTGTTTAAAAGCGAATGCTCCGATCTGTGTTATTTTGCGGTGTATTTCTGATGTTCTTAGGGGACTTTTCCCCTTGTTTACTGGAGTTTAAGAGTCGATAAGGTTCAGAGAAGCCTAAAGCGCTCACTGCTTTATGTGAAACTCCTCCCACAATGACGAGCCAGCGATAAAAATTATTTAAGAAAATGTTCCTTCGCGCAGCGGAGTGATTGATTTCGGAACTCGCGCGGTTTCAACTATCAAAGGTAAGAAAGCGCGGCTGAGCCTTATTGCTTAAGTTTCTTTAGCATTCATAGCGCCGACAGCATTTGTGATTAATGATAACCGGTACTTTAAAACTCAAAAATCAGTCCTGATTCAAAATGCACTTTAAGATGGAATCTATTCGTAGTAGAGATTAGAGTTTTGCCTTGTGTTATAGTAGTATAGCGTGAACATAATTGAATTATGAATTTAAAAATGTCATTTTCTTACTTTCTTGTAAAACTTTTCGTTGCTTTTATTATTCAAAAACTAATTGTTACTAACATTTTAACAGCGTATCACCTGTGATCTAGCTCTTGATAGCAAGCATGTTTTAACAATATGAATTATTTTGTTTTACTAATTAAAAGATAACGGTGAAATCAGCTTTGAATGTACTGTAACACGTTCTTTGTACTGTACCGTCTTTTTTAACGTTTCACCTGTTCTGTGAATGTAACCCCAGTTACCAACGATGTGCCCGTTCTGTTGCATGCGTTTTGACAGAGATGAACTTAGAGAGTGACTGCAGCATGACAGTCAGTTGTGGCAATGGGAAGCTTAGACAATGGCTGATTGATCAGGTTGACAGCGGAAAGTACCCTGGATTGGTTTGGGAGAATGACGAGAAAACAATTTTCAGGATCCCTTGGAAGCACGCGGGCAAACAGGACTATAACAGAGACGAGGATGCTGCACTATTTAAGGTACAGGACGCTGTCTTATAGCCTGAAATGTCATGTCCATAATCATACATATTGATATATATATTAATGTAATTGCTTGTTGGTTTTATTAATTCAATGCATAATGATGTGTGCATGGGTGTCTGTGTGTGTGTGTATATATATATATATATATATATATATATATATATATAATACACACACATACACAGGATTAAACATTTTCCTAATCTGATCAGCCTTGAGATAATATTTTTAAAATAGTCTTTTTGTTTCTGAAATTTAGCTCGAGGTATGTTGTAGTTCTTGTGTCCCGAAGCTAGTCACTGTATGACGGCATGCCGGGAACTTCACTGCGATTGCAAAGCCGGCGAACGGAAAGCACCAGTGATAGCCCTTTAGCCGGGAGGGATCTGAAGGATTCGCGTGTAACTGCATCGGAGCCTGCTTGTCTTACTCCGGTGGGGGTTCTTGCAGGCCTGGGCGCTCTTCAAGGGGAAATTTCGAGAAGGGATTGATAAGCCAGATCCCCCGACATGGAAAACCCGGCTGCGATGTGCTCTGAATAAAAGCAATGACTTTGAGGAGCTGGTAGAAAGGAGTCAGTTGGACATTTCAGACCCGTACAAGGTTTACAAAATAATACCAGAAGGCGCAAAGAAAGGCAAGTTAACCGTGCTTTCCCCCCCTACCCCCGGTGTCTGTGTTACCGTGCGTCTTGCCGGCCGCTTGCGACTGTGCCGTTATGTACAGACAGCTGGAGGCCCGGCTAGTGCATAAACCCGCGCTCAAGCGGGGGCTTTGGCTGCCCTCTCCGGCGCACGTGCTCTCTTACTCAGAAGCATTACTACAAAAATGTTCATCATGCTCCGCGAAGCAGGAAATGCAAAGGAAATCGACGCACGTGCTAAATGCTCACACACTTTTAATGAGGGCTTCAGTGAACACATTGCCTCCCCCCCCACAACAGCGGAGGGTGGGTGAGAGGCACAAACGCCCGCAATGTGTTCACAGCCTTCCTGCTTACCATGCATCTCTCTTTTTAACCATGCAGCTTTTGCTCTGCATCTTCTACAAGAAACTGACCTGGTCGCACTTTCCCTCCCAGGGTCCAAACTGTTTGTCTCAGAGGAGCCCAAAACTCACATGAACCCCCTGATGTACCCAGTCCACCCCTCGTTCTCCTCACTTCAGACTCAGGTGAAAGATGCTTCTTGGTTAATTAAAAATGTATTTGTAACTGCCAGCAGGGCATTATTATGACCTAGCCCCACCTTTGCAAACTCTCTGGCTTTCTGTAGAATTTAATGTGTGTTGCTCTTATTTACAGTGATTATGATGCACGTGATGTCATTGTGATACTACTTCCTGTATTTAGTCTGGTGTCCAACAGACTCAGATTCAAGGGTGCTAGGCTGTACCCCAAGGGCTCTCGCATTGTCCCTAGCAGGACAGCCCTTTATCACGACACCCTAATGCTGGCTTCAGCCATGTACTGGTGCTGTGAGGGTCCTAATTAATAGTGACCATCTGTGCAGGTTTCTAACTACATGGTGTCTCATGAGCGTCCCTGGAGGGACTATGTTCCGGATCAGGCTACACACCCAGACCTCCAGTACGGACAGTGCCCCTACCCACCGCGCAGCCTACCCTGGCAAGGACCGCCCGTCGAGAATGGTACGAGGATATGTCTGCTATTTCCCCACTGGGGGGCGCTCTTACAGGCATGTGCGAGATAGCCGAGCTCTGGGACTCCTACGAGTCATGAGAGCCTATCAGTCCCCTCCACAACATGGGGGGGTTTTGGAGGGGGGAAAAAAAAACAAGAAGAGCGGGTGTGTCCCATGTGGTGGGACAGCAAACAGAGTCTGCTTTGTCAGTTCAGTGCATTTTAAGCAGCACTTCCTCTTCTGAGCACAGAGGGTGTCGTACAGCACGGCGTGATCGCGGCTGGAGGTCAGCTGCACCTGGGGCCCTCTATCGCACCCCCAGCTGTGTCCGACTAACGCGGCCTCACGAATATGACAAAGAGGGGCGTGGGAGTCAATGCTAGATATATTCAGCCCAGTACATAAGAAGGAAAATAAGCCGTATATCTATAATAATTAGTGAAGACTCCGCAGAAGAAGGTGGCACTGGTGCTGTTAAAATCTCCTGTGCTGGGTGGGATTTAAACCCCCCCCACCCACACAATGTACCGGGAAAGGCTGGTTTCTCTTTCTCCACCTGAGGTCCCCTGGAGATGGTGGTGACATGGGCTGGTATATAAGGCACATCCTGTGTGTAGACTGAGAGGAACTGTCGGGATTATCAGTCTCTGAGCCCCTCTGCACCTCCCACAGGGTACCAGATCACAGGCTCCTTCTATACCTGCTCCTCGACTGACTCCCAGCCTCCCGCCACCTTCCCACTGGACCCCAGTATGAGGTCTGCTGAAGCGATGGCCCTTACTGGTAAGTGGCCCCGAGAGACTTGCCTTGAGGACTCACACACACTCGCGTCTGATCCAGCTCTTATGGGGACTGGCCCAGTTGAAAATATAAACTCCTAATATGAACACATTAGAAAGCCATTATTCAGGTATACACACAAAATACAGTTTCTTACTTGTTTAATTAGGGATCCAAGCACCTGTGGCACTGGATCTCTATTGTTTTTATAATTGTTTTTATATATTGTTTTGTGATTGACTCCCACACATTATTAGAGTTTCTATTTTGGGTTCCCGTCTCAAAATACATTACCAGACCCCCAGGATGATGTAACCAATTAAAGAGCCCTTCATTTAATAAGGGGACCAAAGTAACGGGCATAATGGTATATATTGTCATGGGTGCACACTTGCTGGATTGTCTTTCTGCAGTATAGTGCTTCTTTGTGTTACAACTTCCCCATTTTGAAAGTCTTTTTTTAATCCACCAATGAACTGCTGTTATAAATGGATCAGATTGCTGGGGCCAGATATTTCTTGGGTTTTTTTTGACCACGTGTGCTTACAAGTCCTCGCTGGCGGCATGTGAGATCCTCAGGCCGGCCGCTCCCAACCAATGGACTGGCATGCTTTCTGTTACTGTTTACCATATGGGGGGGCAGGGAAAAAATAAAACACACAAAAGTTGTTTCATCGAGAATAGGGACGCCTTTATGAACACCACAGGGTGAATTAATTCCTTGGCTTTTTTCCCTTATGTAGGATAAATGTAAATGTGACTTCACAGGATATAACGGTCCACTGTTTGGTAAAGCCATTCTCATTTCATCTGCATATGATTCTTCCTCTTTATATTTTCACACTACTTAAGAGACAGTATCAAACATTGATCAATTAGGTGGTCAGTTACTACTGCATCAATCCGTATCACATGATGCGTGATGTGCCGGCTGGTTGGTCAAGGCCTACCCCCCCTATGTCACTAATTGGGCACTATTTTCCTCTCCTCCTCCCAGACTGCCGCCTACACATCTCCCTGTTCTATCGTGAGTCTCTGGTGAAAGACGTGACCACCACCAGCCCTGACGGCTGTCGCATCTCATCCTGCCCGGACGACAAGCTCTACGGGAGCATGGAGCAGGTGGTCTTCCCCTTCCCGTACCCTCAGTCGCAGCGCAAGGGCGCCGAGCGGCTTCCTCTGGCACTGGAGCGTGGCGTGCTGCTGTGGCTGGCACCCGACGGCCTGTACGCCAAGCGCCTCTGCCAGAGCCGCATCTACTGGGAGGGGCCTCTGGCCCCCTACAGCGACAGACCCAACAAGCTGGAGAAGGAGCAGACCTGCAAGCTCTTTGACACCCAGGAGTTCCTGGCAGGTGAGGGACCCCCACCACCCCACAGCCAGACTCCCCATTTCCCCAGAGGAAGACAAAACCTTACAGCCCACCTACCAGGCCCAGGGCTCTCATTGAAGTCATAAGAAATGTGCAACCTTTCCTGTAAAACGTTGCCTGGAAAGTACCAACCGTACGTCTGATACAGCTGCCATCTATACATTACTTGGGCATCATTTCTCCTGCTAATGTTCCTAGGTCTATATTTATGTCCCTACTTATTCTCCTACATAAGTATAGACGTGGATGTGGAAATTAAACTCAACAGAGAATCAATAGAGATTCTTTTCAGTCTCCCCAAATACAAGGACAAGTAGTCATCAAGCTGCTATCAGGGAGATTTAGGTGATTAGTCATGTGACCTGCAGTAACCAGTTATAAAGGACTCCCATCAACAGCCCCCACCCACTAGGTCTCTGTGTTTTTTTTTACCACTAAGCATGTGACAGATAGATTTATTTGAATATTTGTTGAGGACTTTCCAGTTAGTCTGCCTTTATACCACCTCAAAGAAGCATGATATTTTTGGTCTTTTTGAGCAAAGGCCTGCCCCCACGCTCTGTGTTACTCATGTATGTTTCTGCAGCCAGGTAACTGTCCTTCTGCAGAGGCGTTTCTCAAGCACCTTGTTCTTCTCCCTGACTCTTAAGAACTACAGGGCTATGCCCATCACGGACGACCAGTGCCAAGGTTCCAAGTAGTGCTATGCTTCGGGGACGAGTACCCAGACCCCCAGAGGCAGAGGAAGATGATCACAGTTCAGGTACACCCCCAACCCCTTGTGGTGTCTTCCCAAAAGTCGCCTTCTCCTTATTGGTGATGATGCAAAGTATTCAAATTCAAGACCAGACAGAGCATGAAAATTCACTGAGTACAGAGGAGCAAATGAATTTTCTTGTGGTTGCACAAACCACCAAAGCCAATCAGAGACCTTGGTCATGCCAGTTGTTGAGGGGATTCTGGGAAGGGGGATGTTCTGGGAATACCAGGGTTCCTGGCCACTCATCTGACTCATCTTCTAATACAGCCTCCTCAGACCCAGCTTTCCCCTGGTTTCAGGGGGATCCAACTGGGCAATTCCACTCTCAACAGAGAAGGAAGTTTTTAAATCTTCGATAAGATCAGAATCAGAAATCAGTTTCCAATTTTGATTTTTAACCTATCAAGGGTAAAAGGTCTCATCAGAAAATGAATGAATCTCCAATTTGACAATATCTTTGGCATATTGGATAGTATTTAGCAAACTGTAATGTGCAGATACATAAATATATGTTGCATTTTCTACACATTTAATCACATTTTGGCAATATTCTGTTTGACACATTATTTGCATAACTTTATACATACATGGTGGCAGACCGTAGCCAGCTAACTAAGACTTGTTCAGTGCTGTTCAGTTCCAGCAACACAGAAACACTATTAAATTAATTGCTTGGACTATTTCTGTAATCACAGTTTACCCCCCATGGATAGTTTAAGTTACCATAGGTACTTTATTCGAGCTTCCTACAGCTAGACCTTCAGGTTAGGAGACTATGGCTTAGACAACTAAGCTACCTTCTGCTTCAAACATCTAAACAGCAAAGTGGTTTCGCTGATTCTTAACTGCCGTTTGGTTCAAAGATCTCAAACGGTAAATCCTCCTGCTGCAGTTTGAACCTAAGACCATTTGCTGGCCAGGCACTGGCTTCTGACAGCCTGTTTGTCTATTAAACTGAATGGAACACTTTGATAATTTTCTAGTATGAAGATCTTGAGTCAAAACTGAAAAGTATCATACAGTAGCCTTTTTACAAATCTGAAGTCGTATGATGCAATTGGAAACCCTCTACCGCCGCAACTTTCAGTTTGAATTGAGGGGGCCAGCCAGGTTAACAGGCTGCTCTACATGAATCACCAACATGAATGAAGGGACGTGAAGGGTGGGGTGAGAGTCATGTGACACATAGGTCACTCCAGGTGAAGGAATTCAGGACAGCGTCTTTGTAAACACCTTGAAACTTGAAAAATGGGCATCACATGTAGCGATTCTGTTGGCTAGACTATGGAACTACTAGAACAGGGTTCCAACAACTTCCATTACCTGCACAGTGCTTTTGGATATCCAAAGAAGATGGACTGTAGACTGACGTCAACCAGTTCATCTAAATTAGCTTAGTTAACCCATTTGTCTTCACATTGATGCTATAGTGCTGGACCAGCCTCAAACATCTGAGGAGTAATCCTTGACCTCTTCTACATTCCAGGTGGAGCCCATGTTCGCCAAGCACTTGTTCTACTTCACACAGCAGACCAGCAACCCCTACCTGCGAGGGTACGACCTCTCTGACCACGGCACCTCCCCCACCGAGGACTACCAGAGGGTCATCCACCACAGCGGCCTGCAGGAATGACGGCACCCACTGCAGCCTGGGAACTGTGCAGAAAAGCTAAAAGGGAGAGGATGCCCCCCATCACTCTCTGTGTTTGGAGTTTGCATTGCATGTCTCCCCCCCCCCACAACATATAGGTTTTCTCTAGGTACCCCAGTTTCCTCCCATTGTCCAAAAACACACGGTCAGGTTACCGTAATTGGTGTCTCTAAATCGCCCTTCCCGCTTAACCTGTGATCACACGTAAGAGTGTGAGAGCGTGTGTTCTCCGCAATGGATTGCCATCCCTGTCCTTGTGCATCCTGGGACACGCTCCAGGTCCACCACAACTCTGTACTGGATCAGTCACACAGAAGATGGATGGATAGATGGAAATGGGGGCAGTATTTTGGACTTGCACGTGCTTGCCTCCACCATTAGCATCTTCAAGGTCATCTTTTTTTTTTTTTTTTTTTTAACTAAAGCTGGATTGATGTGCAGGTCAACCTGGACACTGGTACCACAGTGCAGACCAGCCTGAAGAGTTTTGCATTGACCATCCACAGCTTCCTTCTGACCCTCTATGTGGTTCTCTGTCCGTGATGAATGTAGCTAGCAGTGTCCCCATCGATTCAGCAAACTTTGTAAATACCTGACTTGAGAGCCACTGCCTGTCTCTGTATGTGAAAAAGTAGATACTGACAATTCGTATGTTTGGCTTTAAGAAAAAAAGATTTTGTACAGGTTTTTATTAAATGCAGTTACATATGAAACATAAAACTCACCAGTTCCAGGTGTACTTGCTTATTTCCCACACTTCCTCCTTGGCGTCAGTAATCTTGGGAAACATACAACAGCCACCCACCCCCCATAAAAAAAATATTCTGCATCCTTGTCAGGATCTAGCGTGTAATACCCTGTGTGTATGAGAGAGGAAGAGAGAGAAAGAGAAGGTTCCCTCGTGGGATTCGAGGAATCCTAGCGATGGGTCTGTCAGTATGTTACTGGGGTGATGGGTGTGTCCATTGTGTGTGTGCAAGGCTGATAAAGCACCAGCAGCTATGAGTAGCATGACTAGTCAACGTGAGGGGAAAGCGAGACCCTATAGAGAGCTTAGACAGGAAGACATTCTTCTTTCTTTGCACATGCACAACCACAGAGCCGTCGTCGAAGAACAGTCCAAGGGCACTAAGATCACAGCACACGCTCATCGGGCCTGGGGGGTTAGGGAAAGCTGTGTGTATGGGCTCAGGAGGATGTCCCAAGTGCATATAGCCCATTGTGGGTCACCCAAAGTGTGCTGCAGATGGACCAGCCAATGTCCTGGGCATTTGTGCACGCTGGTTGTTGGTTTTAAGAATGTCCACTCTCTTTGTTAGAAAAAGGGCCTTTCTGAGGTGTAAAACCTTACAGATGAAGGAAGTTGGCTATGATTTCTCACCTGCACTTTGGCAGAGTTCATGAGCCGCATGCATCAGCAGTTACTTTATAGAAACGACATTTAATATGCTTGCTGACTTATTGGGCTGCCGGCCTACGTGGTTCTGTAAAGCAACATTTAACAACATGCAGGGGGCATGCAGAGTCTTCCCCCCACCCCTCAAGCCCAGCACACCAGGGAGGAAAATGGGCTCGCAAATCAATCACTTAGCGACAGCGCTGCGAGTCTGACCGGAGGCACACAGCAAAATTTTGGGGGAGCGACGTGACTTCTGTAGACATAAGACAGGAAGTGTATCACAGATGCACAGGAAGACTACCCACAAACAGAAAAAAAAATCTGTATGTATTAATACATTCAAGTTACCTTATATGAATGACCTCTGCATTCATTTTCAACACAGTATGAAGCATACAGTGTGCAAAAGTAAAGATGAAAACAAAGAAAATTAATGCCTAAATAACCTTTAATCACACTTTTTGGCATTCATTGATTTTTTTTTTTCAAAGTTGGTGTACCGAGTTGCACAAGACCAAATGATATTAAACATTTGCAGCATTTATTTGAAAAACTAAAATATAAATAGAATGGTTCAAATGAGACATTTACTAAGGCCCTTCCCATGCTAAAGAAAATAAACATGCATGGTATCTGGCGGCTTTAAAACAATGCCCGTCTCTAGTGCTGTGGGTTCTTGGAGATGTTCTAGTGGTTCCATTAATATTGCCAACCTAGCTAGCAATGTCAAAAAGATGGATATTCCATGCCACAACTGTTTCTTCCATGTGGGAGTGAGGTTTCGTTCCCTGCAGCTGCACCGGTTGCATTCAAGGCTATCATTTAGGCTGCTAGCAACAGATGTTGCAAGGCAGAGTTTTTGGGGCAGTAGATAGGGTGGGGTGGGGTGGGGTGGGGTGGGGTGGAGTGTAGAGGGAGCGGACCCTTGGATCCGACCGTCTGGAACATCTCTGCTGCCTGGGGAAGGTTTCGGCACAGGGTGTGATCACGACCCGGCTATGATGTGCTGCTTCAGGGTTGCACTTCTTGAGTGCAGGAAGTAGGGTTCAAAGACAGAAGGCCAAAAACACACACACACTCACACAGGCAGCGGTTGGGTCGAGCTGCAAGAGCTGCGCGGCGGCCGCACGGCGCCTAGCGTGATGACGCCACTGTTGAGGTGGAAGAAAACACGAGCTCTTTCCACTGGGAAATGGAACCTGTTTTTTCTTCAGTGTGAGGTCTGTGCAGTGTAACCCAACATGACCGGTTCTTATTTTGGTCTATCTTGATGCGTATTTCCACTAAAATGAACAATAACAACAACGAAGAAAAGAAAAACCCTGCAAAGGCATATTTATTTATGTTCCAGGGTTCCCATCATCAAAAAACAAGACGCAATTAGGAGGAAAATCCCCCAACTGCAAACCAGTGCACAAACTGCTGTAGCACTAGCTGTAGTGCTCATGTGTAGAGGGATAGGCACGAGAAAGGCCTAGTAGGAGTATCAGGTAACTGGAGGAAAGGCGGGCCAACCCATTAACATGGGCAGATGCCTAGGGTACCATCTTCTCAGGGGGCACCAACTTAGCAAGTCTCTACATGCTCCTTGTCTAGGCCTCCTCATGGCCGTGGACCTGCACTGACTGTAGGGGGAGGGGTCTATCCAAATCCACACACTTTTGAAAGCTTTTTAATGTTTGGGCTGTTCATTGTACCTTAGGTGCTGTCATTCATGGGATCCTGGCTATCATGGCTCCATCTGCTGCTGTCTTTTTGCATCTCAAAAGCTGCTCCAAAAATGCACCTCCTCACTTTACATCACTGTTACTGCTCTTTTGCTATTTTTGCACTACCGATTATTGCATATTGAACAAAGGTTTACTATTTTAGTACTACTGGTATTTATTTTATACTTTTATATTTTATATTGTACTACGAAGATGAGAAACAGCATTTCGATTCCCTTGTATGTTATGGACATATAGTGAATTGACAATAAGAGGCTATTTGATTTGATTTGATGACATCCTACCTTCACAGATTACTGCCAATGGTTCATCAGCCCTTAGTGGATCACTACAGTAAAATCTTGTTATAGCGGACTCGCATATAACGGAATTTCGCTTATAACAGACAAACAATCTGGTCCCCAGGGCCACTTTTAGCTGTAGTTTTGTTTGGCTATAACGGACATGCAGTTCTGCCTACAAGGCGCCTGGCGTGCCGGAGATATCCAGCACAGATACGTAGTTGGGATTATTAATAGTCACGCTGTATAAATAGGCATAACAGCAGGCAACACTGATTGGTCTGTGTGGCTGTCCATCACCAGGCACGTTGTGCGTCGGCAGACAACGCTTGCAGCTGGAGGGATGCAGCAAGCAGAAGGTCAAGGTTACTACTGTACCGTACATGTATAACCACTTATAGGCCATATATACTTCCAACAGTCAGGTAAAGTTGGATTACTACATGTACAATATAATAATCTATACCACAAGTGTGTCTGCTGGGGTGTGGCATGAGTAAATGGTGTCCTGTAGTTGTGTTCTGGGAATACAGCAACTCTGGATGTAACGGACTGTTTTGCCAGGTGTTTGTGGGTCTGGTGATGAACCAATAACACATGGATCTCGCTGGGGGTCCCCCGCCTCCTGCCCTGTGCTTCTTGGGAGAATCCCAAGGTTCACAACAGTCACACAACGATGCCTATTATTTGTGAGGGTTGGTGTTCTTCTTAATGGTTCTGCTTAGATTCTGAGGGGGGAGAAAAGGATACGGGGTCACCTGCGATGGTGTAGCAGGCTTTTTAGGAGGCAGTTTGGCCTCCATTGCAAACTATGATCTAGATACAAAACATTTAAAAAAAATATATCGTAAGTGTAAGTAAAATTCTACATTTCTACTGATGGGTTTATGAAGATTGAACCATCACTTCTTACATCACCTATATAAACCACACCAAGTGTGCCTAGAAATCAAGTGCAACTTCCCTGGGACCAGAGTACATCTACAACCAACAGACCCTATAGGCGCATAGGGTGAGGAATCAGGTCTACAAACTAGTAAACATAATTTTTACTTGAGGCCTCAGAGATAACGAATAAATTACAGTAAAAAGCACGACAACAAACATATTAGAGCCATTAAGCTGCAACACAACATCCGAAATGGGGAAAAAAAACCCTAAAAGAAAATTCCCTATATTACAGTAAATGCAATCATCTATGTTAGGGAGGAGAATATGGCACCTTCGGAGCCATTTTCTGAATGAAATCCGTGGGCGATCTGGTTGCTAATTTTAGAATGAAACCGCTCCTTTCACGAAAGACAAAAACAAGAGCGCCGTTTCCTTTTGTTTTGAACCAAGTTTGGGAAATAGTTTCTCCACTGATAAAGTTCACATATTCAGTCATTTAATAACATATTTAGAACCTCTCGTACATCAAAACAATTAAGAGAAAGAAGGCAGAAAAAAACATCTTGCTTACATCATCTGCTCATTTCTTTACTTTCCAATTTGCCTGACAGACCCGAGGGTTTAACCGTAAAATGTCCCCTCCATCCATCCATCCATCCATCCATCCTCTAAGCACTTAACCTGATCAAGGCCACAGGAGTTCTGGAGCAAATAGCCTACAGTAACTCTATGTCTATGGGCTGCAGGAATGAACTGAAGCACCAGGAAGAAACACGCATGACACACAGATAACATGCAATCTCCACGCACACACTCACACAGGTGTGAAGAAACTGCCCTGCCCAAAGGTTCACCAGATTCCATTCACACATGACATAAAGCAACAGGTTTTTATCCAGCTTTGATTACACAAATAATTATAATTAGCATTTAAGACCTCCAGAAACAGCCAGGCGTGGGTTTTACAAGGATGCATAGCAACCTCAAATTAATAATATGCACCCTCAGGTGGAAGTCAATTACTGTGTCCGAGCTGCAGAGACCCTGTCCCCTCACTAAGTTCAGAAGCACCCTCAGCGATTATATTCTGGACTGGAAATAGCAGCTGGAAGCTGGATGATTTAAAAAACGCAAATCAATGCAAATTGCACAGTCACTGAGGCAGAGTTAGGGAGGAAACTATCAACCGACATTTGAAATCTAACCAGAGAATTAATGGTAACCATCTAATCAAGGTAAAGTGATGTCTTATTACCCCAGCGAACATACTTCATGTTTAATGACATGCAGGGATGAAAATTTGCCGGAGTGTCAAGAAATTTCTGCAAAATGAATGGATGTTAAGCAAACGATTAAATTAAGGTGAGCGTTTGCGCCGCCGTCGTTACAAACTGCAACCATTCATCTACCCATGGACGT